AAATCCTCCATACGGTGGCCATTTTCGCTGCCTGGTAAGCGAGGAATGGGTGCGAAAACACAGCGGGTGGCCATTTTTTTACCTGGCGGCCATTTTGGAACCGCCGATCAGCTGTTGGGAAATCATCATTATGCGAAAATCGGTAAGCGAAACAACTTACCGATCATCGCAAAGCGATATTTTCCCATTAGAAACATCGCAATGCGATTGCAAAAACAATCGCAAAAAATCATCGCTAAGCGGATTTGTTGTTAAACGGGGCACCCGTTAAGCGAGGCACCACTGTAATTCCTCTCCATGGGATGGTAGCCCTCTCCAGCCAGGCTCAGCCACCACAACAAAGCCAGGTTTATCTCTGAAGGAGTATTTACAAAACAAAAGCAGCTCAATTTGCTAAATGTGAATTGAATTCAGCTAGGATAAAGGGGGAATAAGCGCTTTTGCTTGATCTCCTGAGACTCTGCACTACAAATCTGATAATTAAGCTAACAAAGGGGAATGGCTGAAACTTCTAAAGGTTAGTAACCATTTAAAATATGAATCAGGACTAGGTAGGAATCAAATAAGTTTCATTACACTCCTTTTTTGTGGGGAGGGGGGAAGCAAAAAACTGCTTGCAAAAGAGAGGCCTAGTGGGTCCAGTTGACTGTCCTATCATCATGGGGAAGAAGTTCCAGAAAGAGCCTCAAGGCAACTTAGATCCAGCTGTGAAGTAGTTGAAGAAATAAAACAACTTTGACAAGAATGAACTGCTCCAATTAATCCTCTTCAAACAGAGGTTAGAGATCTGTCAGAGAAACCGACCAGGGATAGCAAATACTGCTAATAAAGCCTTGAAGTTGGGGACTGAGCAGCAACAGCCCATAAAAACACTGGTAGGCTGCAAAGGAGAACTGAGTTCCTGGAAAACAAAGGGATATGCCCCAGTTTGAGAGTGAGGATCTGGAACTGACTTGATCACTTTAACCCTCCCTCTGTTTACAGAGTTGTGTCCTGAACTGCATATTTCAAAGGAGGATTTTGTTTCAGTGCACAGAATTCCCCTCTCCTCCCCCCCCCCTCAGTAAGAATAAATAGCCCGGTGATAGATTTGCCAAATGACAGATGAAGATGTCACCTTAGCAGCTCTTAAAGACAATAATTGTATTGTGTTCCAGAATGCAAACATTGCAACTTCAGTAAAATCTTTGTCCTTTCATTTGTATAACACAGCCATCCTCAAGCCTCTTTTGTGAAAAATGAATATCATACAGATGGGAGCATAATAAAATAAAAGGGCCCCAAGGCAACCATTTAATATTTACATTTTAAGGTGAGGGTTGTGAAAGTTGTTTTTTTTTTTATTTAATTTTTATGCCGCCCACTCTACCCAGAGGTCTCTGGGCGGCTTATAGTAATTAAAATTCAATACAATAAAAATAACATGATTAAAATACAATTAAAATACAATTAAAATTGCCATCATCAGGACCCACAGTTGATGTTATTTCAATTAAAAGCCTTCTGGAACAGGAAGGTTTTGACCTGGTGCCGACATATTAATGAGGCAAGAAACTCATCATCCAGGTGAGAAGGACTACTCTTACTTTTCCAAACTTCATGAATTCTACTCAAGGAGGGATGACATACTGGCATCCAAAGCATGGAAAATATGTCTCCGGTCAGCACAGATTGGATTCCCTAACAGCTTCCAATCATATGCTACTCTAAGCAACCTCTGTCTTTTCAGGCTAAGATCTAAGCCTTTCTCATAGTCATTGAACCCAATTTTACTATGCAGGAAATAAACTACAGACACATTTAAAGAGAAAACTGAACTATTTCAAAGAGAACAATGCACTAGACTAGAAGTGGCTATCACGATGCTGTGGGGTTCTCTGAAGGCTATACTACAGGGCATATCTATTGCTGAATCTTGCCACATAAATAGTATCACAAGCTACTACAAATCAATTTTGTTTTGAGATAAAAGTTCTGGAAAGTCAACACAAGAGAGAGGAAAACTAATTGGTTGCAAGAATTAGCTCGTAAAATGTTTAAACTTCAAACATTAGAGATAAGTAGAATATCAAAACAATTGCAATATGTCAACCAAACATTTTATGAATTTGGCAACAACAAATCCAAATTACTTGATGATTATATTTGGAAAATATCAGTTAAATGTCAAATAGCAGTTATCAAAAGCAACGAAGAGGATAAAGTTTATGAGACTACTAAAATTAATAGTATTTTAAAATAATTTTAATTCATTGTACGCTAATGAAACTAAAATTAACAATTTGATAACCAAAGAAATTAAAAAAAAACCCACTGAAGATCATAGACTCTTCCTATGTAAACCAATTACATCTGAGGAGTTATATAAATGAATTCAAAATTTAAACCAGGCAGCTGGTTTGGATGCATTTGCGTGCATTCACAGAAGACCAATAGAAGAACCATGGTTACAGGTAAGTAACCTCTCTTTTTGGTGTATGTTTCTATAAAATGTTGGAAGATCAGCTGTCACTTTTGCTCCTTAACTTATGTGATTCATTTATGAATCATTATTGAGTTTCCTCCTTCCGGAATTTAGCCAGAATTTAGCCAAACAAAACTGGCCCAGAATTTACTTCTGTGGGACCTTTATTTAGTTTGTTGATTCAACAAACTAAATAATCAACAAACTAAATAAAGGTCCCACAGAAGTAAATTCATACTACTTCATCCTTCTGGTTTCAAATATTTCAGACTGTTCATTTTTCTTCCATTCAGGCAGTGAATGTATAGACCACTAGACAATTAGCTGCATTTGAAACATCACTACTAGCCTCAGAAAATATACAGTGGACTCTGGCTTCAAAATTATAGGAAATATTAATTGAATCCCATTATTGTGGTAGATTGGGTCCCAAAAGCCATTTTGGTCATTTGGGGGTGACCATATTTGATGGGAAATGGCAGATTCTATAGAACAAGGTTCCTCTCAGATCAATCTCCTCCAAATTTGAGGAGCATTCTATTAAGCTTCTGCACAGATGGTATTTTACACCATTCTTCTTAAATGCACAACACAGTTTGAATAATTATTTGGTGATACATCTATCAATAAAGAAATCAAGTTCATCTTGTTGGAGGAAATGTGAGAATCACAATACTTTCATTTGTAGTGAACATCCCCTCCAGTCCAGCTGTTCTGGTCCAGAGGTTTTACAGAAATAAAATCCATCACAAAGCCAAAAAATTATAAGGTCACTGGATCTAGCTCTTCTGTCCTTATTTCCAGGCAATAACAAACAGCTAGTTCATGAACAATTAATTGTCTTTTTCTGTGTGGCAGTGTGTTCAGAAATTGCTGCAAACTGGAAGGGAACTTGTAATATAACTTTACAGGCATGGAGAATCAGAATATGGCATATTGCCCTAAATGGAAATATTAACACACCAGTTCAAATAATTTAAGCAACCACATTCCCACAATGACTTCTTTAACACAGGGTATCCTTTTTTCTTTTTTCTTTTTTAACGTTAATAAGAATGACAAGACTTATTTTCGACCATGACAATTTTTGGTTTAATATCTGAAGCAGATTACAGTGGTGTGAAGGTACTATATCTGATCATGCATATCAAGTGAAAGACTTGTATTACTGTTTTGTTATTGTTGCTGTTGTTTCAATGTTCTTTCAATAAAGATTTTAAAAAGCAAAAAATTTACCATAAACAGTCTTTACCTCTTAAAGGAGCTTTACTGTAATGACACACCGTGTTAACTATATTGGTTAGTTTTATCAGCCTCATTTGGTCATGCTGTTCCTAACACAGCTAAAAGAAACACCATATTTCTTTAGAAATCCATCCAAAAGTGTCATATACTGTATTAGATGCCATGGTATGTATGCTCACACAGAAGTAAGTTCAACTGTAGATATGAGTTTGATTTTCTTAATATTCACTTGTAGTTCTGCTTTTGCACTTTCTTCTTTCACCTTCATCAAGAATCATTTCAGGTCATTGTTGGTTTCTGCCAGCAGTGTCAATTGTATATCTTAAATTATTGGTAGTTCTTACTGGAAAAGACAATGATGCTTGGAAAAGTAGAAGGCAACAGGAAAAAAGGAGGACCAAATAAAAGAAAGATTGGCTCAAAGGAAGCCACAGTCTTAAATTTGCAAAAGCTGAGCTATTGATGATATCCTGTTTCCCTCAAAATAAGACCTATCCTGAAAATATGGTAAGCCCTAGTATGATTTTTCATGATGCTCGTAATATAAGCCCTAACCCCAAAAATAAGTCCTAGTTAAGCGAAACTCCGCCCTCCACCACTGTGCAGCAACCTGAATATGACATTAGTACAGTATAAAATAAAACATCCCCTGAAAATAAGCCGTAATGTGGTTTTTTGGAGCAAAAATTAATATAAAACCCTGCCTTATTTTTGGGGAGACACAGTATGATCTTTTGGGAGTCAGCAATTTATAGGGTTGCTGTAGGACAAAACTGATGTCACGGCACATAACAACAACAAAAGTCCCACTAGGGGTTACTGTACTTCCAAATAAATGTACATGGGATTGCAGCACTCAACCCTGTAATCCTACTTATGACTTGTCTATTTGGAAGCAAGATCCATTGTGTTCGACAGGGAAAGTTAGATTGACTACAGATTGAGTTTTAGCTCCCCACGGACACAGCTGCTCTCTCAAACATACACCTGTGCTTTCATGCACTCCTTATGCATTTACTCCATTTGTCTTTTGCAACTGTGTTTAGAAGAAGAGAATAGAGCAGGTGCACCTCGTTATGCAGGAATGAGAAAAGACACACCTGCTTAAGCCCCTGCCTACATAACTTTGTAAAGGAGAGCTAGTCCTTTTCCCACTTGCTCGCCTTACATACACACCCTACCTGTTCAATAGGAGATATTTACCTCCAACAAGAACAGTTTCTGGGGCTATGGCAAATTATTTAACTTGTGGGCGTCTTTTTATTGGCATACGCTGCCCACAAGTTCCTTTTCCCACTTGCTCACCTTACATACACACCCTACCTGTTCAGTAGGAAAAATTTACCTTCAACAAGAAGTTTCTGGGGCTATGGCAAATTGTTTAACTTGTGGGAGTCTTTTTATTGGCATACGCTGCCCACAAGAGCCATAAACCTAATAGGAGGAAGTAACTTTCCCTGTCTTTTTGGCAGAGGAATGCAATCTTAGAGCCACCTCAATGGATTATTATGTGCCCTCCTCTCTTCTCCTCCCTGTTCAGGGCATATCAGAGAGGCAAGGCTGTGGGTTTAGTTATTCTGCCATATATTTGTGGCAAGGAAAGTGAAGCTCTCCAGGGACGCTTAGCGTGAAGCCATGAAATTAATGAGCAGGAGCTTCCGCAGGGTGTCCAAGTGGCTTCTCATAATTTTTTTGTTCCTTATTCTGTCTTTTGCTGCACACATTGGCTTTACAGAAAAATACCCATACAGGTAAGAAGAAATCCATCACCTACTCAAATGTAATTTATGTCTCATTTATTCTCACAATCCAAACTGGTCTGTCTTTGTACTCTTTTCTGAAAGACACCACACATCATACTTGCCCATCTCCCTGGATGTGTCCACATGTTCCCTGGGCAAACCAAACTCTTTTGTAGTCTGTAATTTAAAAACATTTCCTCAGCAGCTTAGCTTTAATACCTCCTTGTAAGGCTTTGCAGAAATTAATTTATGAGCGGATGGTTTCCTGACAACCAACAAACTTTTATAACCTTTTGCAAAGCTGAGACGCACAAAGATTTTAGCCTAGTTGCAATGAATTATTTCTTGATTTTTTTCTTCTAAAAGAAGTAGATTTACAAGTATCTTTATGCTATCACATGGTTGCTGCCCACAACAGAAAACTTAAAATCCTTTGTGCTAAATAGCTGACATGTCCTTTCCCTATACAGATATCATTAATATATAGTTAAGTGTAGTAATTGCATGCAAACACAGAGATCTAAAAAACAAAACAAATGTATATGTGTTATAAATAGGAGGGAGTGGAATAATTGTTCTTTAAATTTTACAGACCTTCAGTAATCTTATGTTGGACACTAGTATTGAAAAGCAAAAACAAACAGAACTGGCCCAGAAATAAAATCAAAAATATGGAAGGATATCATTTGGCCACAGTGGCCTCACAATTTCCAGTCAGAAAGCGATCTTGAACAAATACCTCCCATTCTCATTGAAATGAATGAGTGTCTCCCTCCCCTTTTCTGGTTCCTGTGCATATTGTGGGTGGGCGGGCGAATGAGTGACTGCTGCTCTAAGTGACACAGAGGTGTGCAAGTCACCATGACTTTAAGGGGGGCACTATCTCTTTAGGCCTCTTCTGTATCCTATTATTGCTGTTTCTTTGATTTAAAGGGCAGTGAGGAAAACACTGCTTCCTACCCTTGAAAAAGAAAGGGAAAAGCGGCTTCTTCTTCCATCTGTCCACAACTTGCATTGGGGGGGAAGGACACAAAAGAGTCTTAATGGAGATTTGAAAATGTTTGCTGCATGTTTATTAACTGCTGAGTGCTCAGTTGTTGTTTTTTTACCACATTTAACTAACTCTTTATTTAAACATTCTTCATTAACCTCCTCATCTATTTTCTTACTGTGTCCTATAAGCACATAATTTCCATTGTGCCTCAGGAAATGTTGTGTTCTCTTTGTACCTAGAGGTATCTCTTCCCACTACCCGTGCTCTCCCTGTCGCTAGAGTGTTTCCCGCCTCACTGGTTTCTGCACCTGCATTTGTTTTCCTCTCCCTACATTTTCCCTTTGGGGGGGGGCCTTGCTCTGTTTCCCCGCTTCTGTTTTTATTGCTTTTCTTCTTTAGGTGAGAGCAGCCCACATCCCTTTCCCTCTCTTCCCTCCATTCCTGTACCTAAGGGAGTCTGTAGCACAACAGGGAAGCACAGCCTGTCTGTCTGGAGAAAATGTTATCATCTGTGGACTGTAGCCAATACCTTTAACGAAGCTGAGGGAAGTTTCCCTGTCCCCAGTCCCACTTCGGACAAGTCTCGGGGGGGGGGGGAGGAAGCTGAGGGAAGTTCCCTGTCTCCAGTCCCACTTCAGACAAGTCTCGGGAGGGGAAAGCAGACGGACATTGTGCAAGAGTCGGAACAGAACGGCCTGCAACCCTGGGGGCCATTATGTTGTGCTGGCCTGGGTTTGTTTCTCAGCTTGGAGGGTGGGATATTTATGCACAAGAATAGGTACTTGGTGTGGAGGGGAAATGTGATAACAGAGCTAGGGGGGAGGGGGATTCTTTATTCTAGCCACTAGGACAGCGAATGTGTCAGTATGTTTAAAATGAGTAACAGGAGCCTCTGTTCCATTCTAAGCCTTCCATCCCATTTTTTTTCAGATTTATGGGGCAGCCTCACTTGCGCAGGTAACAAATAACATCATGACGAAATTGTGTGTGAGAAAAGCTGCCATAGGTTCAGCACAATGGCTTTCCTAAATTCAGGGCCGTTGATTACAGACAACTGACAACACGTGTTCTATCCCCTGACCAGAGTTCAACCTTATTCTTTTCAATCTTCCATCACAATTTAAAGCTTCAGCAGTTACTAAATGCTCAACACATATTGAATAATTCTTTGGAGACACATGTATAAACTGCTCAGAGTGCAAACAATTGTTTCCCATATATATTTACTACAGTAGGCAATCATATCTTGCTGATAAAACTGCCGTAATCAGAGCTTGGTGACTATCTGGTGCCTAGCCTGTTTACACAGGATGGGCATTGTCCTCTTTGGCTTGATGCATTTAGGGTAAACATTATGAGCGAGATAAAGCCTTATGCTAAAGACATGAAAAAAGTCAGCTGGGCACTGAGGGTAGAAGTAGCACAGAACTATAATACTTCTCCACGTAAATCCCCACTTTAAGAAATTATTATAGAACTAGGTTTACAAACATTGGCTGAGGAAGTTACTTGAGATTTATTTTATCAGACAGAAATTGAATGTTTACATGTTGTTTTGTCCTACTAGAGTAGGGGTGGACAACGTCACACCCCAGCAATTTGTCACCCCTCTGTTTAATATTTGTGCCTTCTAGGTAATATAGGGAACAATTCTGTTGTGTTCCGTGAAACCCCCTTGTGGTACTGGGGAGGGTCCCCCCCAGTCATGAGAATGGGCTCTCCATCTCTCTAAGAACAATGGCTGAATTCCCTACCTGCAGTTCGCCTGTGGACTGGAATGTTGGCAAGGGGGAGGCGGATGAGGCTTTTGAGGCTGTAGATGTGGCGATGGTGGGACTTGGAGTTAAGGAGGAGGGAGAAACAGGAGAGGAAAGGAGGATTGTTGGGTGGGCACCATGGACTGGGAGGCATGCGAGGTCCAGGAGATGCTGCCACTATTGGAAAAGCCGGCGGCTGGGTAGGAGACAATCCGCCACCGTGATCCTGAGACCAGCTACTAAGTCAAATTGCTCATGCCACCAGAGCAAGCCGCTTGGGCCCATTGGGATCAAGCCAGGCGCCAGGAGGCGCACAAGCTCAAGAACCGGTGTCAATCTCACTGCTGGCAGAGGAAGCACTAAAGTGCAGGCTGTCCCATCGTAGAAACCCCATGGTCAGCCTACCTACTGGTCTCAAGAAGGTCAGCTCCCTGCTCCTCCCTGCCCTACACTCTGCTACATGAGAGAGGCCAGTCAGGTCCGCGTAGAGTTTAGTTGTGCCTTTCAGGAATATTACCACACACAACGTTTGGGTTACAAGGAGTAGAGGGTTTTTTTTGTGTGTGAGTTTTTGTTCAGTTCTAGTACTCCATGGAAATTCCTGGGTCCAGAATTCTTTAATTCAAAAACCCTTTTCAGGCCTTTCAGCCTCTATAGTGGATTCATCTGACTGGCTTAGATTAAACATTTTAATTCCACTGTTTTTGTTGCCCCTTTGCTCATGCAAGCAACAAGAAGGCTGAAGAGGAGAAGGTGTTGCAGCGTTTTGAATTTCTGGTAAAATTCCTTTTTTCCTATGCAGTAGAAATATAGAGATCCAGAGAGGAGAATAGCTACAGGTTCCCCAGAGCCCACTCCTTTTCTCATTATCTGGCACTTAGTCCCAGTAACTCACTCTGAGTCATTTCTAGTAGAAAGAGGAGAAAAAATTCTTGAAGTCTCAGTAACTCACTCTGAGTCATTTGTAGTAGAAAGAGGGGAAAATTCTTTACTTACTTGAAATTATGGACTTGTGTGTTACTGCACTCATACTTAACAACCAAGTAAGCAGATCAACAGCAAACAAACTACAGCCACCAACAGACTAAAGAGAGGTTAAGAACTCTCAGCAGAGAAGCAGGGTTTTCTTTGAAGGAGCAATGGGTTAGTGATGGACAGATAATTACAATCACCGCAGCCCACAAAAATTCCTCTCAGTCAAATGATCTGCTAGATAGCCCAGTGGTTTAGGTCTCTGGCTGAGGCTGACATTTTGATTCCCCACTGTGCCTCCTTAACAGGGTCTGGACTTGATGATCTCTAGAGCCTCTTTCAGCTCTGCAGTTCTGTGGTGGTAGCTATTATTGTTGTTATTATTATTATTATTCAGAAACACCAGGCACAATCAATCAAAATCATAAAAACCAATTCCTTGGATCTTAGCTTTCATCAGATTGGTTTTCAGTGCTTATTCATGTGCAGCAATGGAAACAAAAAGCCTTTGGTTTCTTTCTTAATGGTCCACAGTTTTAGCCATACCTATGTTGAATTATTACTGTATCATGTTTTCCATCAGTATTTCTCAGGTGTTGTCCATGTAGTGGTTTATTTTTCCAGTTGTGAAATTTATTTTCAAATTGTTGTTTCTTATATAGAGCCTCTGTTTCTGTTGTTTTCAAAATATTCTCCATTTTCACCACCTTAAGTAATCTTTCTCTGTACTGCATGCTTCTTCAGATGCCTAATTAAAAATAAAAACCAGTTAGTCTTATAGGTACTGCTTTACAATTTCTAGCTCCTCTTTTGTTACAAAAGCCACATGGCTATATGCTACATTACCTTTTCCACATTGCTGGACAAGGACAATGTAACAGGACACAGTGACCTGTTTCCTACATCTTGGATCCAACACAGTTATAATTACAAGCCATTGAGTCGATTCCAACTTATGGTGACACTTTTCAGGGTCATCTATGTAGAGAGTCCTCAGAAGTGGTTTGCCATTCCTTTCTTCTGGGGGTGCTCTGGGACTGCCTAGTTTGGACAAGACCCCACAGGCTGGCTCTTCCTTCAGGAGGCACTGGGAGAACTCAAACTCTCCACCCCTTGCTCCACAGCTGGTTGCTCCAGCTCATTGAGCTGAGTCCTACATATCTTTCTGTTAATCCACATGACTTTCCTCCTCCCCTCAAACCAAGCAAAAACTAGAACAATCAGGGGTGGTGTTCTTGCCATGCACTCTTAAATACTTATTGTCATCAAAGAGACTTCCCTCTTCCCAAGGAAACAGTGGAGATGGCTGCCTATGATAGATGCTCCTATTAGAATTATGGTTGAGGGAGAGAGAGGGGCCAACAGCTCTCTGGTGTAGAAACGATTTCTTCAGAGGCTACAACCCCTGCTATGCACTGGCCCACTGCAAGCTGTCCCATGGGCTTCAGTGAATGACAAATGGGCCCAGCATGTGCCCTGGCTATCTTTCAAAGGCACAACAGCTGGGAAGCAAAGTGTATTTGGGGAAAGCATTGATACATCTAAAGCATTGTTTATCTGGGTGTCCCAACCCTCTGGCAACACGCAAATCGTCTTGGACTCTCTTTTGACTAATAGCGGTTCTACATTTGTGCCAACACAACCCATAGGTCTACCCATGACTGCATTTGGCCATTTAGCAATAAAGGTGAAATGAAACTCCTGTTACAGTTCAGTTGCTTAACAGGAACTGCTTTCATGGTTCAGCCTTCCAATACAGCAAAGTTAGTACTGTACTAGAGTTGTACAGGTTTGTTTTCTTGGACTATAACTCTGAGAACCCCTCAGACAATTGTGCTGCCTGGGCTTGGCTTGACTATGCTGTGCTGTTCTTGCGCCCTCTCCCCCCACTCTCTCTCCCCTTTTTCCTCATTTCTTATTTTTATGTATATGCCATTGTTCTATCCAGAATGGAAAGCACCACGATACCATGCTTCTCAGAGACTCAAGAAGAGAATCCCAGAGCTTGAGAGCAGCAGCACAAACAGATTTTTTTTCTGATATAGTCAATTGGACAGCTTTAACAGGTGGCACCTTTAGCAGAGCAGCTCTGGACAGTTTCAATTTGCAAAGGGGACTCTTATGGGCAGAAGGAATCCATATGACTGAGAAATATGCACACCTCACTGGAAAAACTTCTCCTGCCTGGGGCTAGTATGCTTTGTAGGAACTGTATCTACTGTATATACTGCCATGTTGCTTTCTGATCAGAGCAGAGAGTGAGCTACCCCTTCCTGTGAGGATGTACTTTTTTCCCTTCTTGCATCAGGAGATATATTCATACTTCCTCAGGGGGTTGAAATAATGACCCTCAGATTGAAACAGGAGAAGGGGTTATCCAACTACTGGAATCTCCGCTTGTTTCAAGACATTAACAAGTTGCACACAACTGGTAACACTGGTGCTGCAAAGGCATGCAAGTCTTTCCAGACAATTATTCCGTGGGATCCCTGGACTCTTCCATAACATCTTATATTAAATTTCTTTTTTACATTTTACTATTATGCACAGAGTATATGTTTACATCATTCCAGTGACAGCTGCATTACTGCTGTTGTGTGTGAAGTTCACTTTAAGTGAAGATCCTTCTGAGTTCACCACTCAGAAGGATCCATTAGTGGAGAATATTACTACCAGATTTTTTTATTTATGCTGTTTGTTTGGGTCAGATTGCAAACATTTTAACAGAACTGTATTCAACGACTGACTGTTTTCAAGGCCAATTCCAAGTGTCAGGATTGATTGATTTACCACCCATCTAGTTAAAGGCCTTTGTTACCCAAAGGAGTATCTTTTCTCATAAACTTTATAAAAACCTTGTAAACTTACAAAAATCTTGTAAACCTTGCTGATGCCTCCTTCTTCAGAGAGAAGGATCTCCTTCAGAGAGCAAGCCAATGTTAACTAAGAAGAGGCAGAGCTTCAAAAATGTATTGGTTTTGGTCTACAGATTCCAGAATCTCATTGATAAACCCATTGGCCATAACTGCACGTGTTTCTTCAAGCTATAATCCATAAATGTGACTTTTGCCAACATTTGGGGAGAGGCCCAATGTTGATCTTCTCTTGAAAGGTTCCCATCATTAACAGCCCTGCTCAGAATGTGCAAACTCGTGGCTATTTCTTTCAATCAATCTGACTTATATTTAGTGAACGTTGTTTCCTGATACCTTCAAATTTTCCTGGCATTATTATCTTTTCCAGTGAGCCTTATCTTTTGATGATCGAAAGGTCCAAAGTACAATAGCTCCTTCCTTCCTCTTCCATAGAGGTTTCATGCTTGATTTGATGCAACACCCATTTGTTTGTGTTTCTGGCAATCCATTGTATCTATAAAGGTCTCTCCTTCAACACCACATATTGAATGATTGAATTCTCTTGTCCCCATCAGCCTTCTACACTGTCCAGCTCTCACATCCATACACAGGAACTGGGTATACTGTGGTGTGGAAGAGTTCGGCATTGGTCTCTAGCAATACATGCTTACACTTGAAGATCCTTTCTAGATCCTTCAAAATGAAACAAGTGGAAGTAACCTCTGAGTAAGTTTAATATGTGAACTATCCTGTACCAAAATATGTTACACAAAACTTTCTCAACTGTGTTGCAGACAATTTTTTTATTTTTGTCACCTTACCGCTGAAGAGCCAGTGGAAGGCACCCAACAGGCCACCCCAGGAGCTGTGACTGCCAGCCAGGAGACATCAGTGATTTGGGATAGGATACTGGGGTCAGGAAACTCTAGACTGAAACAAGATGCTGTTAAGAGATTGGTAGCTCATGATGAATCCTATGCTCAAGAAAAACCTGATACATTAAGAGTATCACCAAAATCACCAAAGAAGCAAACCAGGAATGAGAGGATGATATCAGAAGCCAATAAAAAAGCAACTGAAGAAAAATTCAGCACTGTATCAAATAAGATTAAGCCTAAAGACAGAAGTGTGACACCCCTATCAAGTCAACGTCATGCTGATGCTTTGGATTCAACAGCAAGAACTAATAAAAAACAAGATGGGAGGATTGCCATGCCAATAATCAAAACACGAGAAGAGAAACGTATGACACCAGAATCCCAAAGAGAAAGGCAACCTGAGGCTAAATATGTCACACCAACATCTAATACAAAGCAGTCTGAAGAAAAGGAAGTAGGACAAGCATTCAGACAGCATCTTGAAGGAATAAATGTCACACCATCATCCAAAACAGAACACGCTGATAGAAAACAATCTAGAAAAAGGGGTACAACTAAAGAACATTCTTACAAAGTTGAGTCTGTTCCTACCATTGTACATCACAATGCATCTGCACCATGGGCCCAACATGTCACACATCTAGTTCCTGTAACACCACCCAAAAACAGGTTTAAAGCATCAGATTTCACATCTGAGCCTCACTGGGACTTTGATGATCAGTATCTCCAGGATGCTTCAACTCCACATTCAGTAAGTAACAATGAGCTTGGAAATCTGATTTCATCAACAACAAGAACTCTCAGACTGCCCCCAATCAGCACATCTGTGCTAAAATTCTGGGAGTTGTTTTTTTGGGTGTTTTTTTTTTTTAAATAACAAGTCAAAGCTCTGAATTAGCTAGAAATCCGATTTAGGATACTTTGGTTATTGATATTTTACGCTACAAGATCAAACTAAAGTGTAGAATTGACTATGAAAGAGACTGTGCTGAAATCCTGTTGTTTGGCATAGTAAGTGGCAGTAGAATAGGTCCATTGACTCACTGTGGATCTGGTGAATCAACTGCTCCATTAGTCCCATAGATTCAAATGGCCCTACTCTAGTGTGACTTACTACACAAAGGAACAGGATTTCTGCCATTGTTAGCTTCCTAACCTCTTAATCTCTCTTGCGCCTGAGTGGTTCCTAGACCAGCTGTGGGGAGGAGGTCCAATCCAGCTTTTCTGGGGGAAGAACCACAAGCCATGTATGTATTCAGTCAGATGTGGAACTTGCTGCTCGAAATTTCAGGACACTGGATCTTACAGATACTTTTAAAGGAAAAAGAATGATATTAGTGCCAAACAGAGCCTTGTGGCGCAGTGGTTAAACCGCTGGACTGCAGCTAAAACTGTGCTCACGACCTGGGGTTCAAATCCCAGGTAGCCGGCTCAAGGTTGACTCAGCCTTCCATCCTTCCGAGGTCGGTAAAATGAGTACCCAGCTCGCTGGGGGGGCAATGTGTAGCCTGCATAATTAAATTGTAAACCGCCCAGAGAGTGCTTGAAGTGGTATGGGGCGGTATATAAGCAGCACGCTTTGCTTGCTTAAAAAAATAACAGGTTATTGACACCGGTAATCCCAACAGGCATAGATTTTAAGGGGATGCTTTCCAAACTTTTTAACATCACCCCCCCTTTTAAATACCTGAGAAATCCTCAAACCTCCCCACCTTCCCTCTTCCATAATCCAGCACTCTTTTAAACAAAAGAATCACTTTGTAATTTAAAATATTAAGTAAACACAAAACAGGAAAAGTATTGCAGATTAAAATAGCAGAAAAGTAATAAAAATGTAATTTATGCCAAGAAGCGTCAGTACTGTAATAATTTAAAAAAACAATTTAATGTGAATGATGATTATGCATTTCAGTTTCATCCCCTCACTGCCCTGAATTTTGTCCCTCGCCCTGAATTTGGGAACAAACAATCTAAGGTCTAGCTTTGACTGAGGTGATAAACCCACACAGGGACTATACTAGTTTGGTATGGATTGCCGATGACAACTGCGTGGATGTCAATATATCATATTCTCTGGACACAGAAGACTAGCATATCAAGAGGGAAAGTATAGGCTAGAATCAATCTCTCTGATAGGTAGCCTTACAATATGAAGTTTCTTGTGTGAAGGACCATTCCATCATGTCAGCCCCATCTGCCATATGAAGGAGTATATAATCCATCTACAGATTTAACAGCCTAATGAGAAAACATGGGAAAATGTGAATGGCTTGCTAACACAATGCAGCATGGACCTTTTTTTAAAGAAAAAAGGCCAAAAGGCATTCAGGAAAATCAAAGCAGTGTGCAGAGGTTTTTTGTTTGTTTGTTTGTTTTGAATATGTATTTTCTAGCTCTCATAGTTATAAAGAAACCCTAAAAAGTGCTCTGGCACCTTAAAGACTAGTAAATGTTATTTGGTTTAAGCGTTTGTGGAATGCAGCTCAATTCATCAGATGCATATAGTGCACGCAGCATCTCATCATTGCACACATGCTTGGATATGTAAGTGATTTGCAAGCCATGCGGTCAGAAGGCACTGAAATGCAAAAGTACAAACAATAATAATTAATAGTGGCTGTTAACAAACAGTAGTTGGGTGGTAACACAAAAATTCTTGCATCAATGAGGTGATTAACATGTGTCACAGGATAAAAAGCCTTTATCACTATTCAGGCCACAAGAGATAAGAATTGAACATTTTGATCCATCCCTGTTAGCTGTTTCCTTTTAGAATCTGTTTCTGAAGGGCCTTTGTTTAAGAATGGCCATGATAAGGTCAGTGACGGAAAGCCTAACTATTTTCTCTCTGGTTTCTGAAGACTGCCACTCCTCACATCAGAGTTGCATCCATTTATTCTTCTGCATGGTAAAATGCAGTTAGCCATCGCTGGCAAATACGTAATGCCATATATGACCCTGAAAGATGACTAGATGTACTAGTCTTGATATTGAGAAAGATATTATTAAGATCTTCTCTGCAACGTTGACGGAGAATCCATGGGTCTGAGATCCCAAGGTCTGGCTGCTGTGTTGTTATCTCCATTGCAAAGGCTATTTTTGTCAGCAAGTACCTTTTAAAGCCAGCTGGGTGTTTGTAAGGAACAGAGTCATCTAGGCCAATGGAGAAAAGTCACTCACTAGCAACAGCAAGCATCTTGAGAGAAAGAGAGAGATGCAGGTGCAGAATCCAGTCTCTGTGGCAGGAAAATCCTGTTGGTTCAGTTGCTCATGTCGAGACTTCCTAACATAGTTCTCCCCTTTCTATATTTAAAGAGCTGCCCAGATTCTCTGCGAGTCAAAGCTGCCAAATCTGATCAGCTAAAAGGCCTATTCCTGAGCAACATCACTTTGTTCATGGACAGGACTCACTTCCGTGATAGCGAATGGGAGCGCCTGGAACATTTCCTTCCACCTTTTGGCTTCATGGATCTAAATTACTCGTGTGAGTAATTTTTCAAAGACAGCGAGGGTTCTCCTTACTGGAAAAAGGAGCCATAGTTCTTTTACTGAACAGGCAAGCAGGCCTTCAAGTCTTCCCATCTGGGAACTTGTTCCCTGTCCCTTACCATACACTAAAAGAACAAGGGCAAGGAAATCACCTTTTTCCTATGGGGAAGCCCTAGATAAGGAGAAAGATTTTGTGGGGATGGGGTGCATGTTTGCCTTGTAATGAAGCAAGGCTATCCTTACTAGGAATGATAGTAAGATGGCACCTTCAGGAGGAAAACTTTAGGAACTGCAGCATAAGTACAGTAGGACCCCCGTACTTGTAGGGGATTGGTTCCAAGCCCCCAAATGGATGCTGAAAACCATGGGTAAAAGCAAATGGTGTACAGTATATAACATGATAAAAGAGAAACAAAACAGATTTTTGTTCACATGCATTACCTGAACTGACCTCTAGATGACTCTAGAGACCATGCTAGGTATTGTTCAAAATATTCATACCATGGTCTCTTACTCCCTCTAGTGCTCAGCTCTGGTAATATATGTGAAAATATTTTTTTCTTTTTTAAAATAGTTTTAAAGAGCTGCCCAGATTTTCAGACCATAGATAAATGAAACTGTGGATACTGCTCTCTCCGATACAGGAGTCCTACTGTAGTTCATTTCAACATAATATTTTGAGTTATTTGTGTGTGTTACATGCCATCAAGTCATATCTGACTTATGGCAGTCCCCATAGGGTTTTCAAAGTGTGTGAGATATTTAAGGAGTGTTTTTACTTATGCCATCCCATTTCCTATAACTTGAGCCCATTAATGAACTGCATAAAAGGATATTGAAGAAACTGGTTGAAGAGCTTGCAGAACCACCATCTATTATTTTCTTGAAATCATGTAGGATGGGTGAAGTGATGGATGGTTAGAGGAGAGCTAACGTTGTTCCTATCTTCAAAAAGGGCAAAAAAGGAAGATCTAGGAAGCTATACACATGTCAGCCTGACATCAATCCCAGGGAAAATTCTGGAGCAGACTGCAACTGCTCAATGCAGGAGTTGAAATCAAAGCAGATCAGACAGATGGATGTCCAATTTTTCCTTGAATGCCTCCAGCGTTGGAGTGCTCACTACATCCTGACGTAATTGGTTCCATTGTTGTACTGCTCTAACAGTTAAGAAATTTTTCCTATATTCAGCCTATATCTGGCTTCCTGTAGCTTGAGCCTATTATTATGTGATAAGCATTCCCTGTACTCCCACATCCAAATCATTAATAGAAATGTTGAGGAGCACAGGGCCCAGGACTGAGCCTTACAGTACTCCACTTGTTACCTTGAGAATGAGCCATTGATAAGCACTCTTTGAGTATGATTTTGTAACCACCTGTGTATCCACCTGAGAGCTGTTATATGCTGCCCATACCTAGTTAGCTTGCTAGTCAGAATATCATGGGGCACTTTGTCAAAGACTTTGCTAAAGTCAAAATATATTTTGGCTTTGCTGAAATCAAAATGTTTGTTTGTTTGTTTGTTCTTGAGAATGAGCCATTGATAAGCACTCTTTGAGTATGATTTTGTAACCACCTGTGTATCCACCTGAGAGCTGTTATATGCTGCCCATACCTAGTTAGCTTGCTAGTCAGAATATCATGGGGCACTTTGTCAAAGACTTTGCTAAAGTCAAAATATATTTTGGCTTTGCTGAAATCAAAATGTTTGTTTGTTTGTTTGTTTGTTTGTTTGTTTGTTTGTTTGTTTGTTTACTATGCTGCCCACTCTACCCAGAGGTCTCTACCCAGAGGTTTAGACCATTCCCACCATCTACCAGACAGGATTAGTCTGGCAGGATTTGTTCTTGACAAATCTGTGTTAGCTTCTAATTATTACTGCCTTGTTTTCGAGGTGCTTGCAGAGTGATGCCTTCATAATCTGCTCGAATATTTTTCCATGAGATTGATGAAGTTCATCTGTAGTTCTCAGATTTCTCCTTTTTGAAGATAGGGATGACGCTAGTCCTCCTCTAGTCATCTAGCATGATTTCAAGAAAATAATAGACGGTGTTTCTAAGAGTTCTTCAGCCACTCCCTTCAATACTCCTGGATGCAGCCCATTGGGCCCTGGATATTTGAACTTGTTCAAAGTAGTAAGGTACTGCTTGACTATTTAATCTCCAGCTGCAATCCTGTCCTCTCCACTTGTAATTTACATTTCTGTGGATTGTGTGGATTTCCCTAAATACATAGACTGTCTTTTGGGAAAAGGCCAAAGCTAATGTAGGAATTGAGGACTTCTTCCTTTGTCATCTATTATCATTTTCCCATCTCCATTAAGTAACTAAACCATTATTCCTTTTCTCTGTCATTTGCTGTATACCATATTTTTCCATGTATAAAATGATACTTTTGTTTAAAACCTTTAGACTAAAAATTTAGGATTGTCTTATACACAGAAGTAAGCTGAGGAGAGAACAAAACGGCCCATTCGTTGTCTCTGCAAACAGGCTTCCTTCAATTATGAGGCTTAGCTTCCTACAGTCAGGGGACAGCTTCCTCCAATCATGAGCCTTATGTAACTGATGTCAACTGATGCTGTACAAACCAATTGGAACACACCTCGTTGGAGGTGGAGCCTGTAGGCAGTGCTCAGAATCAACAGGGACTCATAATGTCCTAGTGTTCTGAGCCCAGACGCTGAGTACCGTATTTTTCCATGTATATGATGATACTTTTGTCTAAAATCTTTAGACTAAAAATTGAGGGTCATCTTATGAACGGAAATAAACTGAGGAGAGAACAAAAGCAAGTGGAAGGGAGAATGGATCAAAGGGATCCTGCCGTGCTTTGATCGCTGCTTTCCCCCTCCTTTTGCTAAGCCCCATGGAGCTTACGAAGTGGCAGGGAAAGCAGCAATCAAATTTCCTGATTTGGGGTTAGAAAAGTGGAGATTACCCTGCAAAAGAGTAATTTTACACATTGGGGAGTCTTATGAATGGAAAAATATGGTACTCAAAGCTAAGATTCCTTAATTTGGGGTTAGAAAGGGGGAGTCATACATGGGGGCATCTTATACATGGAAAAATATGGTATGGACCTGAACAATGTTTTGTTGGGGAGGTTGGCTGCTTTCAACGTATCTTGCTACCCACAGCTCAGTTTCCGCTTCTGCCTTCCTAATACCATCCCTGCAATTCTTTGCTGCCTCTTCCTTCGTGGACTGGCCTTCTTTCCACTTCCTATACATGCACAAGGAACTTCCTGGTATATCCTGACAATCAGTGGAAATGCATTCTGAAATAAATTGCTAATAATGAATTACTAGACATAGAAGAGATGGGATTTGCTCTCTAGTAAAAGTGTTTATGTATTTTAGTAGTTAAGTTATAACAGTGATTTGTAATCATCATTGAACTGTAATAGTGATGTTTAAGAGGAGGGAAGGGTAAGGATGAACACTGGGGGCTAAACTATCTGTATGTACACCATTATTTTCTCAGCTTCTCCACATATAAGCTATATTATTATCCACCAAGGAAAGAAAAGAAAAAGAACCTCAACAGGGGCTAAAATATTTATAAGTATAAATTATACAGCAAAGATTTCCAGATATTTGCTCAGGTATCTGCTCAGAGGGGATGAGGCAGAGGCAATTCCTCCCAGACTCCAGCACAGCGGCTCTAGAATGTTGAGACTTCCTTTAGAATGGCGAGGGAGAAGTTGGTAGCCTCCCTCTTCCATTCTTTCCATGGAAATGTCAACTGAATATCAGTCCCATTTTGTGAATGGGAATGATTCTGTTTGCTAAAAAAAGAAGTAACTCGGCATGAGGCGATGCTATGGAAAGTTGCAATTGCAAAACGCTAGTGAACCTTTATAGCTCATCTCCAAGACGAGTTCCCCACTAATCCTCCTCCTGTGCCGAAGTTTTGTCCTATTTCCCTCCCCATTAAATGTTGATGTCAGCTACTGGCCTTCTATGTGGGATAATGATGCTTGTGTCTTTTCAGTGGTGAAGGAAGTCATAAACATGCTTCCTCCTAAGCCCTACCACCAAATTCTCTTGGCACAGAAGAACAACCAGCCTTCCAGATGTGTCACCTGTGCAGTAGTGGGAAATGGGGGAATCCTGAACAACTCAAGGATGGGGCAGGAGATTGACTCCCATGATTATGTGTTCCGGTAAGGGAATCACTCTTTTTCTAAAATCTTGTCTTCCATCTGTTTATGCATTTATCTATTTATAAGCTCCCATTCCTAAAAACAACACAGTCAGCTAGATGCTGCTAAATAAAACAAGGCTGTAAAAGGATAATCTATAAAACTTCACTTGCAAAAAATAAAGCAATACCTGATCTTTTAGCAGAAAACCATTTTGGATGGTTGTTAACACCAGGAGTTATAGGCCAAAAGATAAAGGGCAAAGATCCTGGCTTCCCAAAGGACATACGTATCTCCCCAAATGAGCCTGCCTGGGTCTTAAGATCTTAAAGGTAGGCCTTCCTTTCTGCTTTACTACCCTCACAGGTACATTTGGTGGAGACGCAAGAGAGGGCCTTCTCAGGGGTCAATCCCAGACTATGGAATTTCCTTCTAAGGAAGGCTAGGCTCCCCACCCGCACCCCTGAACTGTTTTTCTGCTGGCAGACTGGGACATTTTTCTTTAGATAGACCTCTTAATGATAGTGTTCTTTTTGTCAATGTTGTTTTGAAATGGTTTTGTAAACAGTATACACTTACTGTTTGTTTTAAAGTAGCAATCTATCTTAATACTGTTTTAGTTCTGTAATTTATTATGCTTTTTAGTTTGATCTGTTTTTAATTTTCATGTTGTAAGTCACCTCCGGTCCAGCAAGGGAGAAAGGTGTGATATTAAAGAAGGGAAGGAATGAAGGAAAGAACCATCATATGATTTGAGTCAATTTTTTTGTAATTAAAGAATTCCTCCTGCTGTCCCACAGCTCACATGCAGTGGGAAAGATTATACAGAAGATAGAAAAGCTGCAGGCCAGAAATTTTTAATTACTGAAAATTGCTCACTGCTGGCAATGTCATCACCCTTCTGCAGGCATAGGTTATGTACCAGTATTTCAGCCAATGGGCCTACTCTATAGGATTATCAACCAGATTTAGACCTCTATTTTTATTCAAAAGGTACAGATTTCCCAGCAGTTCGTAATACCCATTACAACTCAGTCTCTACATCTGGAGAAATACAGTGCTTCTGCTTAGAATTTAATTGTTCTAGATTTTTAGAAAATCAAAACATTGTGTATGCCAAGGATGTTGGCAAGTCTTTGAGTCTGAGTCCGAGTCCAAGTCTTTGGTACCAAGCTCCAAGTCCCTATTAAAAACAAGTCTTCCCCCCCAGAAGAAAGGGAGGGGTGGGAGGGTTCTGAGTCACTGAAAACAACAACAACCACGAGTTGAGTTTGAGTCAAGTCACCGGTGTGACTTAAGTTGGACTTGACAGTGAGTCTCACAACTCAAGTCCCCTGTCCCTGGTGTGTACCTTCAGCCAATTTAACCACTCTTCCTTCAGAAATGAGGCAAAATACAAACCTGAGCTAGTTATTTTGCATCACTTACCGAAAACCACCCATCCCAATTCAGTGATGGAATTCCTAGAGGCTAACATTGTAATTCGATATGATCTTTTGGGTCAGAGTGAGCGGGGCCGTGACCAAAGGCTATGAGAAAGATGTGGGGGCAAGGACGTCGTTCTACGGATTCACAGCCTACTCCTTAGTGGCTTCTCTTGGAATATTGAGGAATCGTGGATTCAGGAAAATCCCTATGGGAGAGGTAAGGCAGGTATCATACAGGACCTGTATTTTTTTTCCTGTGGCACAAGTATAACAGCTATGCCGGGGTGGTGGGTGGGTGGGAATGGCAACGAAGGCCAGAAAAAAATGGGGTAATATAAAATCCACCCTCACAGATCCAACCTGTGCTCCCCAGAGCTGCTTTTACCTTTCAAAGGAAAAGTGAGAGATCTACCTGCAGGGCACCCCAGGTACCCATCTAGTTTGCCCTTCGACTTCCAATGCAGTACAAACCCCTGAGAAGATGGCTTGGTTGTGACCTGCAAGCAGTCTCAGCTGTAGAGAAATACCG